GATTGCATAGGGTCCTTCACCTTCACGACTGTTAATCACCTCCCAAGGCTCCATCAACTTGGAGGCGTTTGTGCCAATTAATAGGTTAACATCAGCATTTATATGAGGAATCTTTACCTCCTTTAAATAAGGCCATTTTCTCAGCTCCCTTTCGCTGATTATTGGCTGTAGAAACAGGCATCCCTTTCAGGGTACACACTTTGGAAAGTGGATAGTAGCACTCACCATCCACAATGGAGCTATCTACTGCGTTATGATGGCCCAAAGTGCGGATATGAATCTTGCATTTACGCCCTTCCATGTTTAACCTGTCAAGCTTCCTGGTGCAGAAAGTTCCTGTACTCCCTGGGTCCAGAAAAGCATAGGTTTCAATAACCTTGTTTCCCTTTAAACACTTCACTTTAACAGGCAAGATGGAAAGAATTCCATTGCAGTGGCCAGCCCCTGTAAGACAACAAGCGGAGGATGTTGTACAGCTGTCGGAAGTATTTGACTGCTCAGCAATTTTGTGCTCACCATTCTTCTGATCCTTTTGAGTAATCCTTTCCTTCTCTCCTACGTGCAAAACACTGGGGTGCGTTCGATTGCACTTATTGCAAATGATACGCCTATCACAATTCTTACTCAAGTGTCCTGTGCACAAGCAACTGAAACACAATCCTTTCTCCTTTAGATAGTCCAGTTTCTCTCTGTGTGTCTTTTTTCCCAGTTTAAAACATTTTTCCAAAACATGATTACCAGCAGCACAATACAGGCAGGAAATAGAATCATTCTTGGTAAAGGATGTCACTTCTTTCTGAGCCTTTTCCTTCTTGTTACTATCTGGTTTGCTGTATCCATCCTCAATGACTACCTGTGTTGCAAAGCTGTTTCTTCCCAACAGAGGTTTTACCTGGAACTTGTTTGCTTTTATAGCTCCCTTGATAACAGGTAAAGTATCCTGTATGTTGCCAAAGACTGGATCTGAAGTGATTCTAACCTGGCGCTCGATGAACTCCACAATGTCTGAGAATCGTGCTCTTCGCCCAGTTTTCTCCAGTATCTCACATGCCCTTGTTCTCCACTTGTCTCTGAGTTTATACGGAAGCCTTTGACTCAGAATCTTTATGTTTGCTGGCATGTTAAGTTCCTCCAAGTACTGAAGATCCTTCATAGCATTGGAACACTCACGAAGGAAGAGTCCATAAGCTTTAAGCGCTTTAGGGTCCTCAGCTTTGACACATGGCCATCCCATAACCTTCTCCATATAAGCTTCTGTTATCTTAAACTCATTTCCAAAGTGCTCCTTAAGCAATTTTTTAGCAACAGCGAATCCTTCATCTGCAGTCATATGAAGGCAGTTGCGCACAATATCCCTTGGCTGCCCCCTAGTAAATTGCTCAAGATAATATAAACAGTCTCCTTTACAGCTGGTCTTTGCCTCCATGCAGTATTCAAATGCCTTCATAAATGTATTGAACCTTAAAGGATCTCCATCATAAATTGGAATTTCTCGGCGTGGAAGCGGTTGTAAAGTTTGCATTTTAACAAGAAGAACCGTTATGTCGTTCTGTTGTTGCAGCAAATTATACAGACCTGCTGTCTGATGTTGGCCTTGCAGGGGTTGAAAGCTTTGATTGACAGTTGGCTTTGGCCAGATAGAAGACTTAACGAATGGTGAAACATTGCTTTGAGGTGGTAGAGATGCAGGTCGCTGTGAGGTCAGAGGTACAAATACTGAGGCCTGTAGATTGAGAGCGGTGGGTGGGATCTTCAAACGTGCAGCTGGGACTGCACGTTTGAAATGCTGTCCTGAGGTTGAATCTGATCCTCCTCTTCCTCATCCTTTCCACCAGCAGTTCCTTTTGGTTTGCTGGCATCAATCTCATTTCCATTTTCAGCATTGACGTCAACAGTTTGAGTTTCAACTTGAACTGTCAAATCATCATCCATTTTAGCAACTGAACAAGCTTTAGTGTCATACAACCATTGATTTGTACCCATAAAAACTCATTGAAACTCAACATTTTAGCTTGGTACCATATTTCATGTTTGTTTGCCTCCTCAGCAGGCAATAAACCCAATAAAGATGTATGTACCTGCTGTATTTCATCACACAACTTATTGAACATGTCAAATTCATTTTCAACCTCACTTATATGCTCTTTATCGCTCATCAATTTAGTAATAGAATTTTTAACGGTCAACAGTTTACTAAATTTAGACTTTCTTTCCTTTTCTAAAGTACTTATTTTTTCCAACAAAGCTTTGGGTGTTAATTTAACCACACGTTTTTCAGTTACAGATTGTACCCCTTGGCTCACACAAAGTTCAGTCTCAGGGCCAAGCTGGCCTTTTTCCTTTTCGGCCATAATGACCACACAAAACGAATTGTTTTATTAATCCATAATCCCGCAAAAATAGTTTGTGCGCAACACCTCGTCTAAACATTCAAAGTTATTGTAGACGATTACAAGTTGTTAAGAAGTTGGTTTTACGTGAATGTGTGCACACAATTTTACCATGGCCATTCATAATATCAGCGCTGATCACCACGTACCCCAATAGAGCGTTGGCCGGCTTGATGAATGGTATCCCGACGTGATGATGCTGATATTCCGGAGACCCTTTAACTCGCCCCGGTTCAGCTCCTTTCAACAATCGGCAACTCCAAACATTTGCCCACCTCACATCTCGGATTTTCCAAACGAACACCGTTAAATCTATATATATATATAACAGGTCCGCGTCCTCGCGATGAACGATTATCCAAATTGAAGCAGTTTTTGACCTTAAGTGTACTGACTAAATCCTAACATAGTCCTAACATAGTCTAGTTACAGCGGATTAAGTTTAGACGTGTGCCCTTGCAGCGTCTTAAATATCATACGGGGACTTCGGTAATGTTACTATTAACTAGCAAGTTTATTTTCCTCCATATCTCATACAGTGGCATTATCTTTGCTCGTAATACATGTAACCAACACCATCGTGCCTTGCTCACCCCCAGGCTAGACACTAACACAGTCAAAAAACTGTTTGCTTCCCAAATCAGCAACACCTGTGTCTGGGTTTCCTCTACGTAAATAACCCACACCGCCATGACTCGAGATCAGCTGAACTGCAAAGCACATACAGCCCCCTAGTGGCACAAGACAAGAATTACATAAAAGAATACAGAATGAAAATGGCTCATACAACCTTACTATCCCACCAGAGCACTGCGCTCCCAGAATGCAGGGTTACTTGTGGTTCCTAGAGTCTCCAAAAGTAGACTGGGAGCCAGAGCCTTCAGCTATAAAGCTCCTCTCCTGTAGAACCAGGTTCCAGTTTGGGTTCAGGAGGCAGACACCATCTCCACATTTAAGAGTAGGCTTAAGACTTTCCTCTTTGATAAAGCTTATAGTTAGGGCTGGCTCAGGTGAGTCCTGAACCATCCCTTAGTTATGCTGCTATAGGCCTAGACAGCCAGGGGATTTCCTATGATGCACTGAGCTCCTCTCTCCTCTACTTTCTCTCCCTCTGTATGCAACCTCATCCCATTATTGCATGTTACTAACACAACTTTTCCCCTTTCCGGTAGTCTTGTGCTTTCTCGTCCCTCTCCTCTCTCCTCCTATCACTTCCTGCAGGTGTTTCTGGCTCTGGAGCTGTGGAGTCTGGATCTGTGGCTGCGGGTCACCTGCCGCCCCCGTGTTCCTGCTCGACACCCTCTGCTGCAACGACTATTGTTACTAGTCCTATTATTATTATTGTTATTATAATCATTAACATTACGATTGTTATCATTAACACTACTATAAATATCTGTACCATTTTTCATTTAGTCTATAGCAACATCACCTTTACTGTCTGTACCTCTGTGTGTGTATATTGTGTAGGCTGCCTCCCTCCCCTCTCTCTCCTTCCATCCCTCTCTTTCTCTCTCTCTCTCTCTTTCTCTCTCTTTCTCCTTCACCCCCAACCGGTCGAGGCAGATGGCCGCCCACCCTGAGCCATGGTTCTGCTTGAGGTTTCTGCCTCTTAAAAGGAAGTTTTTTCCTTGCCTCTGTCGCCTAGTGCTTGCTCTTGGTGGGAACTGTTGGGCTTCTGTAAATAGCATCATATGAGTATGAGAGTATGGTCTAGACCTGCTCTTTTATGAAAAGCGCTGTGAGATAACTGTTGTTGTGATTTGGCGCTATATAAATAAAATTTAATTGAATTGAATTAATATTATCATCATTATATACTATTCTCTTTATGGCTTATAGATATATGTACTGTGTTTTTATCCTTAACCTTTCTTCTCCTATACTCCTATGTTAGTCCGTCCACATTTATTAGGGTTTAGGTCAGAGCTGTGAGATTGTTTTGGTGTTTTCCTCTCTTGTTGTTCTTCTCCTCTTCTGGAATGTTCATTCAAAGCTGAGAGAGGATCTCTGTTCCCCAAAACATAGAAACCTAGACTGTGTAAATGATGATGCATCCCTTTGCTCAGGGCCAGACGCCCGAAGCCGTCATTGGCGGCAGGTCCCCGGACCAGTTGTATATGTGTTTAAGTAGGATACTTCTCTGTTTATTCTTTTTTGTTGAATAAATTCTTCAAATACAACAGTTCAACCCCTCACCAATAATATAATTTTCACGACAGTGCTCAAACACAGTGAAGATAGTAACTGTTTCCCAAATCTCGGGGGTATTTGGCACCTTAGACTCTGCTTATCAGTGTATGAATGTGTGTGAATGGGGGTACTGAACCCCGCGACCCTGTACGCAGGATAAGCGATTGACGATGGATGGATGGACGGGGTTAATGAACCGCGGTGAAGTTAGTTTTAAGTTGAATATTCGACAGACGTTCACCCAGGATCCGGTGACGGCTTCATACTCAGTTCACCCAGTGTCGGCAGTATAAAGAAGAAGAAGAATAATCGTGCGTTATAATGACAAATAAACAACTGTGTACCTTTTCCTAAAGCCCCCCCCCCCCCTGCAGATTAATCCAGTTTTGCAACATACGCATGCGCATGAATAGAAGCGCGGAAGTGGTCGCTAACCTGCTGCTGTTGATGTTACACATGGACAATGGAGGAGATCGCTGTCAAATATAGAGCCACACTTAAGTCTTGTCTATGAAATGTTGAGGAGCTCTACATATGTCTTGAACATGGCAATAGTTGTTCGGACAACAGCTTTAGTTTTATACCTCTGGAGTGTTTTCATGCAGTTTAGTGGCGTGTCAGGTGAGCGTGAGGGGCAGAGGCAAGTCTCAAATGCTAGTAGTAAACAGCTAATTTAGCGGGTCAGTGTTAAGCCAAAGGGTTTAAGAGTGTTTTGTTGTTAGCTCGATTCGTCACTTCTAAAGTCAAGTGTCGACGTGTAATGTGTCATATTCCCTGTGAATTTCCATCCCGCATCACTCTGCTGCTGTGGTTTACCAACACTGACTTACTGATAATGTGGTTAATGACATAACGTTTGACATAAGCTAGTCATGTAACGTGTTTCTTCTTTTGGTCTGCTCCAGGTCTTGGCATCAATGAACTGCTTTATTTCCGGGTCATCAGTCCAGAGGAGATAGGATACATCTTTAGTGCGGCGCCTGCTAAAGATTTTGGGGGAGATTTTGTTAGTACTCTTTTGAATTTCACTTGTTAGCCAAAGGATTCTCAAGCCTCAGACACATGTACACTCACCATTTATCTAATCATGTTCCTCCTCTCGCTTTTGGTCCTCAGACATCATCTTATGATGAGATTTTCCTCGTGCCGGCAGACCCAGCAGATGGCTGCTCAGACCTGGAGGACAGAGAAATCATCCAGGGACAAGTGATTCTGGTGGAGAGAGGGTAGGCCTATCTACACACAGGGATATAACGATTCGGTTCGGTTCACGCATGGATTGTGTCCCCCCCCCCCCCCCTTTTCTAACACTTGGAACATTCTTCTTCCTCTTCGTCTTATTATTATTATTATTATCCATCTTGGGTTATTTAAAACTAGTCTAACTTGAAGGCATATCACTCAATCATGACTGAATCAAAATAGTCACGTGACACACACAGTTGGAAGACAATAAAATCGATGTATGGTGTAAAGTAATAAAATATAGGCCTACACAACCTTAAATGCAGTGTTTCCCATATATTTACTTGGGCCTGCCACCTAGGTATATTAACAGCTGCCAAAGTATATTTGGTGACCAGAGAAACACTGAGAGAGATGTGGGATTAGCTATGTTACATACAAGATGCGGACATGGCAACAGTGGCGATTTTACAAGCACGGAACAACAATGAACACAAGGTTATTAGTCATTATACAGCACAAGGCTGCATAGTGAAACAAAATTTGTTGTTTCTTCATGCTACACACACAACATATAATTAAGTGTAGGCCTGTATTAAAATATGGTAACATAAAATATGCACATTGCAGTATTTTGTCGTCATGTTTCTACAGTAGCCGACAACGGACAAACATCGCTACAGAGCGCGTTTCGTCATCATGGCTTTTTCTTCTGCTTTTATAATTCTGGCAGTGTAGACGCCGTCCCTCCATTAAATGTGTCCATAGAAGAAGAAGAGGAAATAATAATATACAGTCTCTGAGTAGTCCTCTGGTTTATTATAAGTAATAAGAGAAGTGACATTTGGACAAATGAACGTGCACACGTGTTATTTAGCACAAGAGCAGACAGCCTATGGATCTTTATACCATGAAGAGGAGTAGGACAGATACAACAGCTGTAAGATTTTTTTCAAAGTGGAGCTGAAGTTGTCTGTTTTCTGCTGGACAGGTAATAAAGTTAGTCAAACTTTAGCGATGGAAATGAAAGCTGTTGTTTGATAGCTTTAGCTAGAAGCTGACCATAATCACAGAGAGCCGTGGTGTTTCTCCTGTCAATGTCTTGTTGGATTAATTTCATGTAGCCTGTTGTTCTCCAGCAACAATCAGCTGATCAGTAATTGGCAATAAAACGTTAGCTTACAGCATGGAAGCATCAGCTAAACTTTTACTGATCTGGTAGAAAAAACATGTAGTTGGATTAATTTCATGGAGTTATTCTCCAGCGCTGTGCTTTGGCTTGTGGTGTAAAATATCTAGTTGGATTAATTTCATGTAGTGACACTCTCTCTCTCCAGCGCTCTGTTTTGGCTTTGTAGGTTATGTTCCTGCAGGGTGTCCACGGGGTCTTAAAAGGTAATAAATCAATTTTGCGAAAATTAAGGCCATTTAACAAGGTATTAAATTTTGAAGATATTTTTTTCAATGTGAAATCCTGTTTGTCCAAACGTTTGTTTACTAAAAGTGTAGGTGAACGTATTTATTTATAATGCATAGCCAAAAATACTAGACAGGCAGAGAGTAGCGACTGTGAGTCCTTTCTGTAACGTTAGGCGCAGGGATCTATCGAGTGCCTATTTCACTCTTAAACGCAAAAAATAAATCCGTGCGAACCGGAAGATGATTTACGAATACAACCGACCGTAATCTCCCACCCTGCCGGACCCTCAATGTTATCAATCGTCCAAAACACACATTTTGGTTGAATATCCAGTGTAAAAACAGAAGTGAAGGGCCCCTTATAATGATAACGAAATATAACAAACCTAGTCTTGTTTAAATGGCTGTATTTATAAAGCGCTTTTATTTCTCACGTTTCCTTCCATGTTTTTGTGTGCACTCCAGTGGTTGCTCCTTTGTGCAAAAGGCTCGACATGTTGAGGAAGCAGGAGGAAAAGCTGTTCTGATTGCTGATAATGCAGTGGACAATGACAGTCAGTACCTTGACATGATCACTGATGGAAGTGCTGCCATTCCAAGCATACCTGCTCTATTCCTGCTGGGACGTGATGGGTGAGAGTAATGCGGAAACACAAATAACATCACTACACAAACAATCATTCTTTTTTTTTTTTTTGTAAAGGCTTTAAGAAAATACATTACAAAAACATTAATGGTTTTCCATGTATTCTAGGATGATGATCAGAAGATCTCTTCAGAGACTAGCACTGCCGTGGGCCGTCATTTCTATTCCTGTTAATGTTTCTTCTTTGGCCTCGTTCCCACTGAAGCAACCCCCATGGACACTGTGGTAGAAATGACGCACACCCACAACTTCATGCACTTCCTCACTTAATAAACATTGTTTCATCAGTGCATGTCCTGTCAGTCCTCACAGACAAATTCTTCTGCGGTGGTTAAACAAATTCACACACACTAGTGGTGAACCAGTAAAATGAACATACTATGGCTGCTCTCAACTAAAGATTTTCCTAGTTGTTGGTTTAAACCATTAGTCGACTAGTTGCGGCATATTTATGATATTAATTTAATTATTTAAATAAACAGTCAGAACTGTATTCCCTGATGTCAAACTGATTTCTGTCAGTCTTGGAGGCTGTGTTCGGACATGCTCTGTGTTTAGGGTTTTTCTATGATTACCCAACTAATGAAAAGTTTGTTGAGTAAGACTCTTCTCATCAACTAACAGTTTAGTCGACTATTAGGGAACAGCCCTAAAACATACAGATGGTGACAAATTACAGGAAAACCTAACATAAAGTTGGTAAGTAGTCAGGCCACCACAAACCACCAGAACAGCTTCAGTGCTCTCTACGAAGTCTGTGGAACTTTGTTGGAGGGATGAACACCATGCACAAGATGTTCCCTCCATTTAAATATACAACCTTTATTTAATGAGGTCATCTCATTGAGATCAAGATCTCTTTTGCAATAGAGACCTGAGTGCACCAGGCAGAAAGAAAAAGAAAACCAAACATAGCCGGACATAACAAAAGGACATATAGCATCTACTAAATGGATTTGAAGATGAGAATTTATATGATATCATTTAATCTTACGGAGATGGAGGAGAGCATCGTCTTACATGTTGGTCCGAAATCTTCAATTGGTGTCAAACTGGGTTGAGCTCTGGTGACTGTAAACTCATGCCGTAGCATTTTACTCATCATTTTCATACTCACAAAACCATCTACTGAGCCCTGGTACACAGAAGCACCTACATTTGACATGTTTCTCCACTCTTTTATTCGGGGTTTTCCTTTAATTTGTCCCCCCGTTGGTACATAGTTATATCACACTTAGACACACAGCCACGAATGTGGAGCAAACCTTTTAACAGTCTCCAAATAGAGCCGTTGAACCCAGCGAGGACGCACGCTTATGCTGTTGGATAGGCCTCTATGGAAATAAAGGGAAGAAAATGGCCATGACAACATATACTAAACTTCACTACAATAAAGCATACAAGGAATGTCATCTCACTGTAAAATTGGTTATAATTTCCCGTTTATTTGCAATGAACATTGTTTCTCTTAGGGTTAATAAATATAAAATAACTTTTTTGCATAAAAGGCCATCATTATTGACCGTCTTAGGTTAGCAGTTGGATAAGCAGGATTGATACAGTGTGGCATTTGGGAAAGGTGTATTCAAAGAAAACTACTCCGATTAACCACTGGGAGAGTGTTTTTTTAATTTCATTCAATACATTTTTAACACTCTTTTAAATGCTAAGAAAATAGAAAAATGGTATTTTCTGTTACTACGGAGCATATCCTATACGCGTGGATTTAAACGTGATTGCAACTCCAGTACTCCATGGAAGGCAGTGACTGGTGTCTTTTTTTCCGAAATGAGGTTTCTGACATTTGCATTTCATGCAAATTTGTGTTGAGTTCCATGTCTTCATAGAGCTTGGTCAAGAAGTGATTGGTAGTATTGGTCTGTAAACCCATGTGTATTTATATCTGTAATATAAGATGGGCTACACATTATGTATAATATAAAAGAGGTGAGGGACATGCAGATAACTGGATTAGAGTGCAGAGTGCTTGACAGCCTCGTTTCTCGCTGTTCTTGCCACATTACTATTATGGACTAGTAAGTCACTGGGCTTTATTGTTCTTCCAACATCTAGATCACAGGTGTATTTTGAATATCAAGGAGGGACCAAATACACTTGGCATCACCAGTTTAAGCCAACTAGAGCAATGCATTTTTCCTACATGGCGGTCCCCCCCAAATTCTGCGAAATGGTGAGATTGTTTGATAAACTGGATGTATTAGTGTCCTGGAAAGCTTCATACATAGAAATCAAACTAATAAATTGAAGGCAACTTAAATGTGTTCTTTTGTTTCTGCAGATTCTTGTAAGGCCACATATTTTATTTATTTTTGCTCAAACTACAAAAAGTTAGGAAGGGTTGGTTGTAGTTCTATTTAATGAATGCTAATGCGTTTGGATTAGAGAGATTTAATCTGACATCGTCAATGTGTTGGCCTTTGCACTTCCATGGAGTAAAAGAGTAAGTGTAGTATTTAAAGTTAACACCACCTGCTCTGCATCATTAGTAATGCTACAAACTTTAGTCTTCAGATAGTCCTTTAACAATAAACATATTGTTGTAAAAGGGATGTATGCAGCAAATAATTTGGTAAGAGCTTTCGTTTAAGGTCACATGGAGAAAAAAGTGAAGAGAAGAAATAGGGCTATTTCTTGTTTATTCATGTATGAAGTTAAAATTCATAATCTAATACTGAAATGTCGACCTGAGTAGAGCATTTAATCTCAGTCTCAATCAATAATGACAAAGACTTCTGACTTGACAGGGGTTCAGGAGACACTCACTCACACCCTAGGAGGGCTGGCAGTTTGCAGAATGCTGGATCAAAGCATATTTATAGAAAGTTGACTGGAAGGTTCATGTGTGGTAGGAAAAGGTGCACAAGCAACAGGGATGACCACAGTCTTGAGAGGATTGCCAAGCAAAGATTGAAGAACTTGGGAGACCTTCACAGGAAGTGGGCTGAGGCTGGAGTCGCTGCATCAATAGCCGCCACGGACAGGCTTGCCCAGGGTTAGGGTCAGTTACAAGTGTCATATTCCTAGTGTCAAGCCACTCCTGAACCAGAGACAACGTCTGAGGTGTATTATCTGGGCTAAGGAGAAAAAACGTTGCTCACTGGCCCAAAGTCCTCTTTTTAGATAAAAGTAAATTTTGCATTTCATTTGGATATCAAGGTCCCAGATTCTGGAGGACAAGTGAAGAGGCACATAATCCATGTTGCGTGAAGTCCAGTGTGAAGTTTTGGGGTGCCATGTCAATTGCTGGTCCACTGTGTTTTATCAAGTCCAGAGTCAATGCAGCCGTCTACCAGAAGATTTCAGAGCACTTCCTGCTTCCATCTGCTGACAAGCTTTATGGAGATTCTGATTTCCTTTTCCTGCAGGACTTGGCACCTGCCCACTGGGCCAAAACGACTAGTAACTGGTTTACTGACCATGGTTTTACTATGCATGATATCAAAGCCAACTGGCCTGACCTGAATCCCATAGTGAATCTATAGGGTATTGTCAAGAGGAAGATGAGAGACACCAGACCCAACAATACAGACGAGCTGAAGGACTCTATCAAAGCAACCTGGGCTTCCACCTCAGCAGTGCCACAGGCTGATTGTCTCTATGCCACCTGTCTTCTGTACACCTTTCAAGTCAATAGTCTTTGACATGATTGCGGTTGTGTGTACTAAATCAGACTGAGAGATTAAAGGCTCTTCTCAGGTCGACATTTCTGTATTAGACATTTTTTATTCTAATATTTTGAGATATGTAATTTTGATTTCATGAGCTGTAAGCTGTAATCATCAAGATTAAAACAAAAAAAGGCCTGAAATATATAACTTAATGTGTAATGAATATATGAGAGTTTCACATTTGGTCTTAAATTAAGGAGAAAAAAAAATATTTTATAAATATAATTTCCTGAGATGCAACTGTATATGATAATGGACATAACATGTTTACTAGACTAATTGCTGTAACACATTCAGGATTGTTGGAAAATATCTAGCTTAATATATATTATACTGATAGAGACAACTTTATTTTAAAAATATTTGAATTAAATTAAATAGGCCTAGATTTCACACATCACTGCATTAACAGTCTAATTTGTCCATCACTCGTTTTAGGTAGTATATCTTATCCAAAACCACCACCAGTCAGAGGGTGCTGCGATCTCTTTAAGCAGCATTCTCTAAATTTTGTGTGTTTTTTGTAAAATGTTAAAATGCATCCATATTTTATCAACACGGAGACATAATTTAACACAATGACATAACCACTTAAAACACCTTCTAAAATATGGAGAAGAAAAGACAACAGTTTGCCAATGCCAGACCTCATAAACGCTGTTGCTGATCAAATAGTGGAACCTCCTCTCCATTTTGTGTTTGTGAGACATAAATCTCGTTTAATAAAATGTTGCTGCGGACTTAAAAACTCTATTTCAATCAAGAGACGTTTGCTTTTATGTTAAGGTTATTTATCTGGTGTTCACCGGGTAGGTTTATCAGTACCAGGATCTGTCCACAGTGATAGTTCTGTCATTTACAGATGGGTGACAAATTAAAGGAAAAAACAACTTAAGGTGTAGTATTGACATAGGCCACCCCGTCTGTCTATGGTAACGGGGGTAGTTTAATCGGGATTCCTTTGAGCTCTGCATTGTGCAGTATCTACAGTAAATTTATGAACAGTGCTTAAACCCTTTGATGTAGTAAATAAAACGTTCAGTGTTCATTTGTAGGCCGAGTTAGACTCTTTCAGAGCCAGACTAGCCCACAATCCGGTCTGGTCCGTAGCTGCTACTTACCTTTTAGCCTACACGGAGCACCAAGTTCGCTTACTTTTAAATGTTTTGAATATTTTAATGTCTTTGACAATATAGGTGTGGACATAAAGTCAATTGATCATGAGCTCTTTAACAGAACAGATTAAAATGTGAAGTCTTGCAGCATTAAAATATATCGACGTTACAGCCCTGCTCTGCTTTTTGTAATGATGCCCAATTTCTTCCCTGCACAAATGTTCCTTATAGGCCTATAAGTCCTCACATATTTTACCAGGACCTATTTAGTTTGGTGATCGTTTATTAAAATATCTTATAGACATACTACTACTAATAATAATAATATGCACAACCTTAACAAAATATCCAGATCATGTGCACTACAAATAAAATAAAATAAAAATAAAAGGCAAAGAAAATTATTTCATATTTATTTTGTTAAATTTACAGTTTAAATATTTCCAACGTCCGGTTGTCACGAACCCTTGCTGGCTGAGTCCTCGGTTAACAGATTTTCACAGTCAGTGAATCTTCAGAGGCCTTCCTTTGCCATTTCCCATCACAGGACAGGAGCCCACTCTGTGAAAAAAGCAGCAAACAGCTGCTTAGTGAAAGTGTAATAGTGAGAGAAATGAATGGGCATCTTAATTCAGAATAGCGACATTTAACCTCTTACCTCTTCTTGCATCTTGGGCACACTCTTCCCCACACTGTCTTCACTAAGGCTTTCCTCAGAGCCGGACTCCCCCACAAGTACACTGCCGGTGTGCACACAGCGTTTAAACGAGCCATGATGGCGAAAGGATTGGTGGCCTCGTTTCTAAATGTCAGCCCTCCGTTTAGTAGCAGTCTGAGGATGATATTAACAAAAGAGGGGCCCCACAACACCAAGAAGCTTGTGACAACAAATATGATGATTCTTAATGACTCCTTCTTGCTTTCTTTGTCTGCGCTGGGAGGGTCTCTTTCAACCTGGAATCTGGCAACAACATACAGTTTGATAGTCATGATCACTTTGGTGAGCACAATGACTTGTAAACTGACAATGCCGAAAACATACAGCTGTATTGCTTTGGAAACTGGCAAGATATTTGAAACCATCAGCTGACCATAGACATGAAGCCAACAGTAGACATTTACAGAAATAGTCACTCGCCGTGTTATAAAGCGCGTGTAGATGTATGGATGACAAATGGCAAAATAGCGGTCAAATTGTGCAAATAAAAATGTCATCATGTTTACCCCAATAAGATAATTTAAGATATTATAAGTTCCATTCCTCGAAGGATAGCCTTCCTGAACATCAAACAGACCGATGTAATACACAGAAAACCCAACCAGCGTGTCACACACACTGGTGTTCAGCATGAAAATGAACCTGTTTTGGAGGCGGAGCGCTCTGGTGGCCAAGATGGTAATGACTACAGGTCCTGCTACGAGGATAGTAGCTGTGGCGAATAAAATCTGGAAAATAAAAATGAGATAATCTACAGGACTCTCGAAGTTCACCGAGAGGGCAACTCCTCCAGATTCAGTGATGTTGGAGAGGAGCATTCTTTCAATAATGCAGCTTGAATTTAATGTAGGCCTATTTATGTAGGCTATAGCTGGTTGATGAGCCACTGCCCATGAACCCAAACTGAACGCATTGGTTTTCCCCCATGCATCCCATGAGCATCAAGCTATTGGCTTACGTTTTTTTATTTTATTTTTCCAATTTTATTTGGTGGGATGGGGGTGTAATGAAATAAAATAAAACATAAAGATAAAATTTCAAAGATTTCAAAGTATTGATAAAGAGAGTGCACACTCCATAATCAAAAATATACACAAATTGTGCACGTTTTTTAATAATTAAATTCAAATCACAACACAAACAGATCCAATGTCAGTGCCCCTACCCTCATATGACCTATAACTCAGTAGCTGCAGAAAACAAACAAAAGAAGTAATCAAGCAACATAAAAAATATAAAGTATTTAGATAATGCACGTTACCAAACATGGAAACAAAGTATAAAATTATACACATGTCTCCATTAAGTCCTCCATTGAGGTGGAGGGGTGGTTCTGACAATTTCATATGAATTTGTGATGAGGTTTTTTACTTGTCTTCAGAGAGCTTGGGCTTGGTGAGGAACTGATTACTAATATTTGTCTAAACCTCTGTAAAATATGATATCTGTAGATAGGTTGCACACTGATGAATGAATAACATAGAGGAACATGCGTATAACTGGAGTGCAGTGTTGAAAAACACAATCACTATTTGGTCCAAGGTACAAGTTACCTAGAGTAACTTATGTGTCGGGTACAAGCTACCTGCCACATTACTGTTGGACTAGTAATTCACTGGGCTTTAATATTCCTGCTACATCTACCGCTGTATTTTGAAATACACGCGAGACCAAATACACTATGCAACACCAGTTTAAGCCAACTAGAGTAATGCATGTTTCCTACATTTTTGGCTTGCCATCACCCCAAATTCTGCAATAAGGTACGTTTGTTTGATAAGTCTGCAATACGGTAAGTGTGTTTAATAAGCTGGATGTATTAGTGTCCTGGAAAGCTCACACATAGACATAGAAGGCAGTCTAAGTGTGTTTATTTCTTTTTGCTTAAACTACAAAACGTTAAGAAGGGTTGGTTGAAATTCTTATTTCTTTTATTTATTTAGCGTGAATGTTTGAATCAGAGAGATTTAATCTGACGTCATCTAAGCGTTGGCCTTTGCACTCCCATGGAGTAAAAGAGGTTCTTGTAGAATTTAAAGTTAACACCACCTGCTAGACCTCAATAGTAATGCTTCAAACTTTTCAGATAGCCCTTTTACAACAAACATTTAATTCAAGTATTTAAATGAAGAATTTGAAAAGAGCTTTTATTTAAGGTCTTTTCACATGGAGAAAAAATATGAGGGGGAAAAGCCTTAATTATTGTTTGTTCATGTGTGAATTTAAAGTAGAAACTTGTTTATGTTCATTTACATTTTCGGTAAAAAAAAAAATTAAAAAAAGTGGGGGGGCTAATTCATAATAAACATTTTGAAAAAAATAACAATGATTAATTAATGAACAAAAGCATTATTTTCAGTGAAAATATTTAGCTAGAGGTCTGGCTTATTCCATCTACGTAAATTATTTGTGGAAAGGCCACTGCATCCACTGTGTATGTGACACCAGGTATGATTCTTATTCGTCTCCCGTTTCCAAACGAACCTTCATAGCCGTTGCTTTTCTTAATCTTTTTTTTTAAAGATTACATATCAATAATCAATTGGGATACTTACATCTCAAGTTATGGACATATTATTAAGCTTTCCATATTTGTAGGTCAATGCACAACAAATCTCCTGCTCAGTCAGGCCGGGGCCGCAACCTCCGAGTATAAAAAGCGGATATACGCATACACGTAGCCTACAACATTAACACCACCGTAAACGTTTAGTTTATTTATTAAAGCTGACTGCCAAAACCATAACAGATTCACAGTGTAACAGCAAGAAACATCAAAAAGCCAAAATAGCATGACTTGTGTGCTCATCACTCTACTGTGTTTACATATAGGTTTAACCGCGATTCAGCACCACACACCATGGACAGCGACACTCCTTACAGCAATCTACATATTAACCTATAGATAGGCTAATTTACATTTAACATGGCTGGAAACACAGTGGAAACACCAGGCTTTTCCTTTACCTAATGTTCCCTACCCCCAGCACAACGAGCTGTCCACTTGTTATGTTAATCTGGATAAGATCACCCAGATACCCACTCGCCAGTTGAGCATTCCGGCTCTGCCCACCTATAGTAGCTATAATTGATTAGTGCAAACGTATTTACTATTTAAAATTGTACCTGAACTTTATATAAAGCTTACGTAGGTTTATTTTCCACTTTGTTTGACATTTCTTATATAATGTAATTTTTTCAGATTCACGGGGAGAGAAACTACAGTACGACTACTTCTCTAAGATTTAATAGTAGCCTAATGGCTGATCGATCTTTTGGATCATTAAAGGGACGCTGCCACTAAATCAACAGTTAATTCAGATGAAACATTAGCCCGACCTTTTAAGGTACAAATATTTCAGAAAATAGTGTTTGCATAAAAACGGACTCCGTTGTTGATAGAGAAAAGATAGAGAAAACGCGAGATGGCAAAAACAAATAGGCTACAGTTGAAGAACGTACTGAATGGAGTCGTCGGGTTCTTGTTATTTCCGTTCATTTTTTGGAACCGACTCTGAAAAAAGGGGTTAAAGACAATTTAAATAAGCAACCACTGCATCAAATGATAAAAAATCCCAGTATGTGTTGATGAACATGTGCCTTTATGCCTCCCCTACCTCCTCTTGCATCTTGGACACACTCTACCCCACACTGTCCTCATCGCGGCTTCCCTCAGAGCCGGACTCCCCCAGATATACATGGACGGTGTGCACACAGCGTTGAAACGAGCCATGATGGCGAACAGATTGGTGGCTTCGTTCCTAAATGTCAGACCTCCTCCTACCATAAATCTGACGATAATATTGACAAAAGAGGGGTACCACAACACCAAGAAGCTTATAACAACCAATATTATAATTCTCAAAGACTCCTTCTTACTTTCTTTCTCGGGACTTGGAGGGTCTCTATCAACCTGGAATCTGGCAATAACATACAGTTTGATAGTCATTACCACTTTGGTGAGTATAACTATTTGAATGAAGACGATGCTGAACACATACAGTTGTATCGCTTTGGAAAGTGGCAACAAATTCCTAGCGAGCAAGTGGGCAAAATTATAAACCCAGCAGTAGATGTTAATGCCTATCACAAAATGTCTTGTTATGAAGCGGCTGTAGGTGAATGGATAACACACAGCAAAATACCGGTCAAATTGTGCAAACAAAAATGTCAGTATATTGACCCCTAGAAGTGACGGTAAAACATTATAAGTTCCATTTCTAGACGGATATCCCTCCTGAACATCAAACAGACCAAGATAATATACCGAAAACCCAACCAGCATATCACAAATACTAGTATTCAGCATGAAAATAAATCTTTTTTGAATGCGCAGCGCTCTGGTGGCCAAGATGCCTATGACTACTGTTCCTGCTACGAGAACAGTAGTTGTAGCAAATAAAATCTGGAATATAAAGATAAAATAATCCTCAGGACTGACGAAGTTCACCGAGAGGGGAACTCCAAACGTCAAAGAGTCCGTGATGTTGGAGTGGAGCATTGTTCATGCGCAGGTGGTGCAACGACTATTTTATAGACCTCCTACCTTGAAGTCACCATCTTTGATCTATTGAGATGCTATGATCTAATGACGTTTATCCTCCCTTTAACACCAGCCTAGTGCAAGAAGTCCTGCAGAGAATTTAGTTTAACCTGGAAAGACACGACCACTTTATCATCGTTTTATGCAGCACATTCGGCTGTTATGGGCCTACATGATTTTTGGTGTGCTGTCATTTAACAATATATCCTCATCCTGATGCATCAACAATATAAAAATAATCAGGTCTAATGATAGGCTACTATATGATAATGTATGGAACATAACATGTTTCCTAGGCTAATTGCTATAACAAATTCAGGATTGTTGGAAAATATGGGGCCCAATATAACCCGATAGAGACATCTTTGTTTAAAAAAAAATATTTGATCTAAATGAAACAGATGACATACTACATCACGACATTAACAGTCTAATTTGCGAGTGCATCAATCGTTTGGAGTATTTTATCTCAAAACACCAGCAGGGGGTGCTGCGATCTCTTCAAGCAGCATTTGTTATTGTGTTAAATTATGTGTGTTTTTCGTAAAATGTTGAAAAGCAGCGATTATTTTATCAGCTCAGAGACATCATGAAACACAGTGATATGAATACACCTTGTAAAAATTTGGAGAAGAAACTACAACAAAGTATGTGTTAATCTAGTTTGCCAATGCCAGACATGTTGCAGATAAATAGCCTAATTAAACCTCATCCTCATTTTGTGTTAAATCTCGTTTAATAAAATGTTGCCGTGGACTTAAAACTCTATTTCAACCAAGAGACGTTTGCTTTTATGTTACAGTTATTAATTTGGTGTTCACCGGGTAGGTTTATCAGTACCAGGATCTGTCCACAGTGATTGTTCTGTCATTTACAGATGGGTGACAAATTAAAGGAAAAACCAACATAAGGTGTCTTAGTATTATATAGGCCATTGGGACACCGAGTACAGAGCAGAATGAAGACTGAAAGTTGGACAGTTCGTTTACTTTTAAATGTTTTGAATATTTTAACGTCTTTGAAAATATAGGTGGGGACGTAAAGTCAATTGATCATGAGCTCTTTAACAGAACAGATTAAAATGTGAAGTCTTGCAGCATTATCGACGTTACAGCCCTGCTCTGCTTCTTCTTGCCTGGAGGAAAAGTGTGTTCGTTAAAGCAATAATAGGCTATGTCATATTATGACATTGTATTTAACCACATTATAAAATAAAAAAGTAGGCTATAAGGACAAGTGAGTGACCTTTTTTGGGGGTACTTTCCTTACAAATAGCAATCCATTAAATAATGTACTTAATGTAAATAATAGTCGATTATTTGAACTCAATAGTTAACCCAAAATTTACATTCACTAGTTGCTACTGTAACACTAAATGTTCCACTCCATATTGACCAAGCTGTGCAAACACAACTCAATAGGTTAGCCTACTTAATATCCCCTATTATACTTCAAAATACATTGGCCTAGTTAAAATATTTTAATATTATTATTAGGCCTGTATAACATGTTTTATTGGAAGGAAAGGTCGTTTAGAAAGCCAAATGTGTTTTATACTTTACCCTAACTACAATAGTAGCCTAAACCTTAAAATGCCTAAATAAAGCACGGAAATCCCAAACTGAACTTTACGGTCAGGCAAAACTGTCGGGGCAACATGTGACTTATATCTTTTGTCACATTTACAGTTTAAATAAAAAATCGGAACAGATTTTCACAGTCAGTGAATCTTCAGAGGCCTTCCTTTGCCATTTCCCATCACAGGACAGGAGCCCACTCTGTGAAAAAAGCAGCAAACAGCTGCTTAGTGAAAGTGTAATAGTGAGAGAAATGAATGGCATCTTAATTCAGAATAGCGACATTTAACCTCTTACCTCTTCTTGCATCTTGGGCACACTCTTCCCCACACTGTCTTCACTAAGGCTTTCCTCAGAGCCGGACTCCCCCACAAGTACACTGCCGGTGTGCACACAGCGTTTAAACGAGCCATGATGGCGAAAGGATTGGTGGCCTCGTTTCTAAATGTCAGCCCTCCGTTTAGTAGCAGTCTGAGGATGATATTAACAAAAGAGGGGCCCCACAACACCAAGAAGCTTGTGACAACAAATATGATAATTCTTAATGACTCCTTCTTGCTTTCTTTGTCTGCGCTGGGAGGGTCTCTTTCAACCTGGAATCTGGCAACAACATACAGTTTGATAGTCATGATCACTTTGGTGAGCACAATGACTTGTAAACTGACAATGCCGAAAACATACAGCTGTATTGCTTTGGAAAGTGGCAAGATATTTATAACCATCAGCTGACCATAGACATGAAGCCAACAGTAGACATTTATAGAAATAGTCACTCGCCGTGTTATAAAGCGCGTGTAGATGTATGGATGACAAATGGCAAAATAGCGGTCAAATTGTGCAAATAAAAATGTCATCATGTTTACCCCAAGAAGAGAATTTAAAATATTATAAGTCCCATTCCTCGAAGGATAGCCTTCCTGAACATCAAACAGACCGATGTAATACACAGAAAACCCAACCAGCGTGTCACACACACTGGTGTTCAGCATGAAAATGAACCTGTTTTGGAGGCGGAGCGCTCTGGTGGCCAAGATGGTAATGACTACAGGTCCTGCTACGAGGATAGTAGCTGTGGCGAATAAAATCTGGAAAATAAAAATGAGATAATCTACAGGACTCTCGAAGTTCACCGAGAGGGGAACTCCTCCAGTTCGAGATTCAGTGATGTTGGAGAGGAGCATTCTTTCAATAATGCAGGTTGAATTTAATGTATTTATATATATCTGATTAATAAGCCACTGCCCATGAACCCAGGCTGTTTTTCCCCATGAGAAATTACATTATCTCACTTTCCATTTCAATGGAAAGTGAGATAATGTTTGTTGTTTGTTGTTTGTTTGTTTTTTGTTTATTAAGACATTGTCAATTAAAACTCTTGGCTTAGGCTACATTTTTTTATTTCAGTTTTCCAATTTTATTTGGTGGGGTGGGGGTGTAATGAAATAAGCATAAACATAATGGCCTATAGATTTTACAGTATTGATAGAGAGGATGCACACTTCATAATGAAATATATACACAAGTTGCGCAAATTTTATAATAATTAAATTCAAATCATAACACAAACCAAATGTCAGTGTCCCCCTCCCTCATATGCCTGGTCTTCAGGAAGATGCCTCAAGATTAAGAAATAAAACATGGCCCATTTGATGGCCCTTAAAATGTCAGTTGATATTGTGTTGTAGTTTTGCAAATTCTGTTCCTTGGTTTTCAATTAAATTACCTCCAACCAGGGGCGGCTTGTTCATTAGCGCGACCGGGCGACGCACCGCCGAGCCGGGAAAGGCAGGGGATTTTTCTCACACTTTCTACCACACTGTTGGTTAGCTGTGACTGTTTTTTGACAGACAGCTTGTCTCTGAATATCGCTGTCCAATCAGCGCCAAGTCCTGTTCCGGGGAGTCCCGCCTCTTTTGATGCGATTTCAGTCTGGTTGTAAATCGCCCAGATCTCTCTCATGTAAAGGCAGTTTTTTCCCGCTGCAATGCCATCTGTATGTAATACATGTAACGTTAGGCCTAATTTGTTAAACTATGAGGAGAGGAAAAGTCCACTAGGTTAATTTATGCTTCGTAAAAGGCCATAGGCTAAGCTAATAATCTTTATAGTTATTATTAAGCCGACTCTTATGTTTGTGTTAAATGTGATTGTTACTAAGCCATGTTTTATGTGTGGTGGTGGAGTAAATTTAAAGTTAGCTGCACTTAACCAGTAACGTTAACAATTATTTGATGTGTTGTTTTTTTCTTTTATTGCCATAAACTGAAGAAGAAAGAGGAGGTAGCATGATGTGGCCGCCACTGGCATCTTGTCTGAGGAGGGTAAAAAGAAGAAGAAGAAGGAAAGCAACACAGAAAATAAACCAAAAATAATATAATATACCTTTTTATATTTCCCCTTACACGCCTTGTTGTGTAAATACAGAGTGAGAATGGGAGAACAGCACATAGCTCGTTGTTACTGTGCGATTATAGAGTACATACAGCCCACACCCCTAATAATACTGTATATCTACAGGATAACAAGTGGATTTTTTACTACTCTCTTCTTACCTTATTAGTCTTGTGTAATGTGTGTAACTTAAAGAATGAAAATAAATACTGTGCTCCTCTGTACCCCATTAAATATTTAAGATTAGCTATGTTTGATCCACCTTCATATACAGCACATGTGACATTATTACATTACTGTAGCCTGTTACTTGAGAAGAGTCCCTTACCAGTAACGCAAGATTAACTGTAAATAATTTTATTCATCACACATCATCAGCCCAGTGCCACTGCGCTTTATTCTGGATTTGTTGATCCTAAATAAAAGGTTTGTCACTGCTAAATCAGATGATTGTGAGAGTCATTCTTTTTTTCATTATTGTTGAAGTAGTTGCCTTTACATCCAAAGGTCTAAAGATCTGTTACATTTACATTTACTCATTTGGCAGACGCTTTTATCCAAAGCGACTTACATTTGAGGAACGACATACAAGCATCAAATACAGATCTGCAACTGACAATACATACTAGTAAGAGCAGCAATAAATACTAGTAAGAGCTCACAGTACATATCACATCAATGGGGTAAATACCTAGGGAAGGAAGTAAGAGTTAACAAAAAGTGCAATAAATACAAGATCATTGTAGGGTATAGAAGAAGAAGAGCACAGGAAGTGCATGTTAGAGGTGTTATAAGAGGAAGTGTTCTCGGAAGAGATGAGTTTTCAAGAGCTTCTTGAAGTTAGAGAGGGACCCTGCTCTGATGGCGTGTGGTAGCTCGTTCCACCATCGTGGTGTCACAGATGCAAACAGCCGGGACTCGGATTGCTTTGTGTGAAGGGATGGCAGAGCCAGGCGGCGTTCGTTGGAGGAGCATAGGGGCCAAGAAGGAACCTAAGTTTGTATTATGGAGTTTAGGTAGATCGATGCAGACCCAGTAGTCACTCTGTATGCAAGCATTAGTGACTTGAATTTGATTCTGGAGGCCACGGGGAGCCAACTGTGGACTGTTCATTCATTGTAGACATTGACAATGAACTTCAGGATGTAGCTGTTCACAAATACTGTACAGTATGTAGCCTAAGGAACAATCCTTGTCTTATAGTAGACTAAGACCATTGAACTGGTCACCTTAGCCATCATCGCAACAATTCCCCCCCCCCCCGAGAGATTTGGCAGGAGCCGCCACTGCCTCCAACTACACCTAGTGACCACTTTATGAGGTACACCTGCGATAAAATCTACTTTCATGGTGCCTTTAATGTCCAGGATTTTTTTACACAGTCATAAACGTGTTAATTCACTTATATGTTTTAGCATTAAGGTCAAAGTTAATGGTGGTGGTGCACTGCATTATATTGAGAGGTGTTTCTAATATTCTGCCTTTTCCATCCGGCCTAGAACAACATTTTGGTGGGGAAATATTAAAAAAGTTAAATTTTTGGCTGACATAACATGGTAATATGGATCTAGAAAACCATCCTTGGCCTTCCCTCTGCAACCACACAACAGTAATATATTATAATTTATTTAGCCTATGTCACAAAGAGTATAGGACAACTTTATAACCAGAAGGTCAAGTTTATTTTATTTTATTTTTGTCTTTGGATAAGAAAGTTTTAAAAACGGATTTAAATGAACAAATCTGTGTTCACAATTTATAATGAGAAAATTGACTATTCTGGATCCAGCGTTACTTGGGATGACACCTGCGAATTCAGATGAAGGGCTGATGTAGGCATGCTTCTGCCCTAGTCCTCCTCGATTAAACTGTTGCAGTTGATACTACAGAGCAATCTATAGATGGAAACATTTGTTCGGTATTTCTGGATAGGTCCTCAAGTCATATCCTACCTGTTTAACATGGAGACAGCTTTTGTCAGTATTGGTTAGTAGGCCCTTTAGCAACCTGTTCTCATCCCAACTCGTCACATATGGATGCTTGGTCAAAAACCCCTTGACGTCGCTTTTGAACGCCATGGTTACCCTTCAGCCTCGTTTTTGCACGTGTAGGGCTCCGCAGTCATATTAGCCACAGAGAATATGCAACATCCGGTCAAGCTAGCAACCTACACTAAAGGGATACCCAATGCGTTCAAAGGAGACGCCAAGGGGTCAATTTTAAAATAAAAAATAGCTTATGCTAACTAAGTCTAAGTGTGTAAACACTCAAAAAGACAGAAAGAGGTCATCTTTGTCACTATGAATCTTCCAATCATCCCGCCAACTTAATAAGCAAAAATGTTCATCAATTGTGAATTATTTTTTATCATTATATTGTATGTAAAATACAGTTTGACATGATACTCTCCAGCGTTAACATTTAGAAAGACATTGTGCTAAAATCCTTAAAAGAATAATCCAGGACTTGCTACAAAAAATACACCAGATCCAAAAGGCCATAGCATTTATAGATTTTCTTTTTTTTAATTCTTAAAAAAATACATTTAATTTTAATTCAAGTAACAGTAACATGGCTATTTCAAAAATAGTTAACTTGAACTGCCATTAAATCAATAAAGTTACATCAAATTCTACCTGCATTGTATTAGAATACAAAAAAATCATAATTTATTTGGTCATAATTTAAAATGTAAAGAAAAAACATGTCTAATATGTTAAAGCTTTTACAGGATTTAGATGATTTATTATGCCTCTTTCACTAGACCTACTATAAAACAATAATTTGCGCGACGTGTATGTTTCTTAGAAATTATGTTTATAACACCAGTTTCTAACATTGTTAGAAATCTAATTATCTGGTTTACTGTTTGTCCACAAGCTACGTTTTTTTGAGTGAAGTCACTCCAAACTATACATTTAGATAGGGCCTTATTTGCACGAACTGATATTGTATTGGAAGAGCTGGTATCTTGTGGTAAGCTCAAATTAATATATGTTAGTTAACAACGTATCCTCATAATATTGAGGGAAAAACGAATCCTGCCGACATAACGTTTCCTCCAAAACAAATTTGCTGTTGCAAATTAGTAGCATATACACGTAATTTATAGGAGACCGGGTTGGCCCTGAAAATCTATGTGACAAGACGTCATCCATAATACCAGGGGCCTGAAACCTAAAATATCTGCCGTGGAAAAGGCCTGTATTACTGCCGTTCAATTGTTTTGGCTTCCTGAATTCCAGTGTAAATTATTAACAATTATTTACATTGCATTTAAAAGGTCACTGCTGTGGTTTTGCCACAGTTTTCAGTTGTCAGTAAAAGCCTCCGGCCACTGTTATTTAAATTAGATCATCAGTTTCATTCTCATTGCATTCTGCTTATTAAAATTAAAGTAACCTACAAAATAACGCATGTTCACACTGGGTGGAATTGAATACGTTCTGTTTCAATTGTATTTATGTTAATTTGGAGATGCAGCCATTGAAACGAACTCTCTGTCAAGTTTGAACACTCCTCAGTCAATAAAGCATTAGTTTACCCTTAACATAATAAGTCCGACCAACCTTTTGCAGCAGCAGATTTTGCTCCACACGGTTTTCCACACGGCCGTCCTGAGTGAAGGGCTCGCCCATAGGTAGATAGACGGAGTACCCAGAGCGATGCTGCGGGTTAAATTTTTCATTGGGTTAACGGCGTCGTTTTTAAAGACAAAGTCTTTCCCCGTCATCTGAGATACAATCGAATAGAGCAAGGATGGGCCCCACAGCAGCAGAAAAAACATGACCACCACCACTATTATAATCAACAAGGACTCCTTCTTACTGTCTCTCTCCCGGCCCGGCGGCTCTCGGAGGAGATGGTACTTCGCCACGATAAGCAACTTTATTGTTATGGTTATTTTTATGAAAATTATCGGCAACAAACTAATTCTGCTGTATGTTGCGATCTTCATGGCTGTAGAAAGTGGCACCATGTGTTGTACGAGCAGCTGACCGTAAACATGCACCCAGCTATACACGTTGACACCCACAATCACTCTTATGCTGATAAAACGACCATAAAAAAATGGATGACACACGGCAATATATCGTTCAAACTGGGCGAATAGGAACGTCATGATATTAACTCCAAGAAGAGATGGTAACATGTAGTAAGTGTCATTCATGAAAGGTAAGCCCAACCGCACATCAAAGAGAAATTCATAGAAAATACCACAGCCGGTCATTGTATCACAAATACTTGTGTTCAGCATAAATATAAACCGGTTTTGTCTTAAAAGTGCATGGGTGTTAATAATACCACATGCCACTGAACCGGCCACTAGCACAGTGCTAATCCCGGACATGATGTGAAAAATAAAAATAAAATAATCTCCCGGACTGTTAAAGTCAACACACAGAGGAATGAGCGTTATGTTGATAAAGAGGATCATGATAGGAGTGCGCAGAAGCAGCCCAATCTGAACTGCGACAAAAACAGAGTAACACTCCTGTTTTAAAGTCAGTTATTTTTGTTATGAAGACTGTAAATGATCCATGGTGATGTTGGAGGGTGTGAGGCGTGTAGGAGGAGACAATGACCGTGTGGACCGTAAATGACGTCCCATCGCCCTTTCCTTATGTGATCATTTTTTATTTTGAATAGTTTTGAAAAATCCCCTTTATTTCATTCAAACAAACAACTACAGGAAAAAGCTACATACGTTAAGTTATCTTGTATTTATGAAAGCATAGCACCATAAACCATCACGGCCCGTCTGGAGAAACTATTTTCAACAACAACAGGACGGAGCTGACCAGGGTCCTGAACCTGCATCTGTCAGCGCTGCTTTATGCGATCATCAGCGTCAGGGCCACGCCGCCGACCTGCTCCTGAATGCGGCTGGCCGCATCAAGAAAGCTGTCCAAAGCACTGACTCCAGTCCGTAGGCCTACTCTTGTCCTGATTTATTAGGGATCCAAGCAGCGAAGTTTTGTTGTCATTATTCTTTCGTCTTTTTCTCCGCTAAAAGTGTTTGGGCAGCAAAAACTGCTGGACGAAAACTCACCAAAATTGGCAAATAGGTTGCAAATTCCACCCACTACTAAGGCAAAAAATGGCACTCTTAGACCTCATGGTGGCACTATTACAATCAACTTTACGTTTTTGCAATTATCTCGAAACGGCTTCGTTTAGAGTCAAACTTCATTGATTATTTTAATCTCTGGATTCATCTGCCTATTTGCAGGTGGTCTTCTGCTCTAAAAATGTCAAATTATGCAATATTTTATCACTTTTCTCTAAAACTTTGTCCCAGACGGTTCCGCCAGTTCACCTGACACTTTTCAAACTTCAAAAAAAGACATCCACTGATATGTGACGTTTGCCTCACTGCAACCATATGGTCAATTCAGAAGTCAGTCACTCTATATTTTTCTAAATCAATTAAAATCTATATCTCCACAAGTCTTTGTTCAAACGCTACCAAAATCAACACAGACATTCTCTAGATGGCCGATATCAAGTGTTTCAAAGGGTTTTCGGTCTAACGGTGAGTCTGCAGTGATAATCTATATCTTGCTACTTGTACAGTTGGCACCTTTTTTTTTTTCTTCTCAGTTTTGGATCAAATGCCACCAAAATATTTTTGGAATGATGTGTGATTTTTTTTGCAGAATTTTCTCACCAACATCTTAACTCTTGTAAGTGTTTTAAGTTTAAACTGACAAAAATATCCGGGTCAACCACATGTGACGCCACTAACTCATCTTGTGAGACGGTGCGTGGAAGCAACCTGTGGCTCAGTCAGTAAGTCACCTACTCTGGAGATTTGATGTTGCGGGGGTTCAAATCCCCAACTGACCAATTCAGACTTGCTGACAATGGGGGTGTTTAGATCATAGAGAGTCTAAGCGCACAGTTTTGTTTGGATCCTGTGACACTTTCTTCTTATTTTTCTCTGCTAAAAAGTGTTTGTGCAACTTAAACTTTAAAACTTGGAAACACAAAATGTTGCAGGTGGGTTGAACATTTCACCCAGTAGATGACATATATAATGACACAGATCTCAAGGTGAAGTTGTAAAAATCAAGTTTGCGTTTCTTAGTTATCTCAAAGACTAAATTCTTTCATCACTTTAATGTCTTAAGTCATCTGCATCTGTTCTTTTCCTCTGAAAATGTCAAATGTTTTTCAGGAGTTGCTTGGATCGCGGTCATTGTCGCTTGCGGCTACAGGCTATTTCCTTCAAATTGCGACCGAACATAAACCTGAACTTATACATATAGGCCTCACCTTGTGCTATTTCTCCTAGTTGAGTCTTCCTAGTTTATCTTTGCTTGTTAGAAAATCAGTTTTAGTGTAGTCCGTCCTGTTGGCTATCGTGTTCATTATTTCGCCGAGATGGACAGAGGATTAAGTCCGCCTAGCCTACTCGCTCCGGTCTGCCACCGCTGGCTGCTGCTCGGAAATGTCAATTTCATGACTAAACTGTGATATGTCCAACCACTGAATTCCCATGTTTACTTTCTCATAATTTTGTTTTACAGTTTGTGCATCACTGTGTATTTTGGCCCAATTGTGGCAATTTCAAGCAGCAAGTCTGAGACAGCTTCGCGGCTTGAAGCCTCGCGAACACGATCGGGACAAATACCAGAATGGTAGCCTACCATAAGTCAGAATAAACTAACATAACTTTACATTTTACCGGACATTTCCGCCAGTCCAGTTAAACTTTCATCCCGTCACTGATGATGATAGCATGATAGCTTATCGCGTTACCGGGGATCAGCACAGCGAGCAGCTGAACTGACATCAAGCAGAACAAATGATCCACCTGAACTGAATAGGTATAGCCTGGAGCCTTTATCCACGCTGAATAGACTATATATTTTCAGACCTAGGAATATTTACATTCACAGTGCTGTGATACAGATTCCCTCACACAGATAGTCACATTAACCCCTGAATGGAAGGTGGGTCCATTATCTTTAAACGTTTTCACTTCGCTCAAATTTCGTTTCGTTGTGTTAAACAAACGTTTATGTTTACGTTTTGTTGTGCGGTAGAATTGGTAATTAACGGTGAAATTCATTTCTGTTATAGGCTACTGTTGTGTGATGAACTAAACAACTGTTATTGCAAAACGTTTAATAATTAAAATGACATCCACATTTTAATAGGACACTGAAGACAGGGAAATGCAATGTTAGCACCTGGATGAAGATGAATTTTAGAGAAAATAAAACACAATCCATAAACTAAGTTCAAGATAAGCAGAGGCAGATATTACAGAAAGGTTTATTTAAATATTTAATTTTTTTTGTATAGCCTATACCTTATAAATGTAACCCGTTTATGATAGATGTGTTTCATGTGGACAACAATACGTCGTTCCCAAGTGAAATGTTACTAGTGGGCTTGGTCCCAAACTGTAATGGACTGCAGTCGAAATATGTGGCAGTGACACATAGGCCTACAGGGAGAATTTTCGACCAACAGCCCTCTCCTAATCTCAAACACAATCCACATTTCACTCTCACATCCAGATTGTCACGCAGAAACTTCATCTGACCAATCTAGCAAGTGCGTTTTGTTTCAGACATTTTAAAAACATAACGATTGAAAACTCACATAAATTCATTCAGTCATTGAAACAATTTTCACGTCAGCCACGTGATCTGGCTCTTTAGTCCATACTCCTTATGATGATGTTGATGCTGGCGGCTTCGTTATCGTTTCCTTGTCACTTCATCAAAGTTTAAGCCAATTCTGAAAGAGAGAGGTAGGGTGGGCAGAGAGAGAGTTACAGTAATTGTCTTATTTCTTATTCAGACAAAAAATGGACAGAAAAAGCAAATACTTAGTGATTTAAAACAGTAGGTAGGCTATATAACGCGAGTAAATAGTAAAATGTTCAATTCAGAAGTTCAGACCGACTCTTACCTTGCCCTCTGCCTGGGGCACACCCTCCGCCACACAATTCTCCACACGGCTGCCCGCAGCGCCGGGCTGCCCCAGATGTACACAGCCGGAGTGACCAATGCGTTCAGACGCGCCATGGTGGCGAACAGGTTAGTGGCTTCATTCCGAAACCTCAGACCATTGCTGCTCAACTGTCTGAAAATTATATTGACAAAGGATGGACACCACAAGGCCAAGAAGCAAATAACCACAAACACAATGATGCGCAGCGACTCATTTTTGTTGTCTCTCTCAGCACTGGGCGCCTCTCTCACCAGATGATTCCTGGCAATAACATATAATTTAATTGTCATCAACACTTTAATGAGAACTATAACCTGTAAAGTCATTACACCGAACGCGTTTATTTGAGCCGCCTTTGAAACAGGCACCATGTTCTGCACGGTGAGGATAGAGTATGTGTAAATCCAGCAAAATGCGCAAATCCCAATGACAAAAGATCTCGTTATGTAGCGGTTGTAAAAGAATGGATGACACACGGCGAAGTACCTGTCAAACTGAGCGAAGAGGAATGTTAACACATTGACACCTAGAAATGAGGGTAAAATATAGTAAGTCCCATTCCTCGAGGGATAGCCCTCCTGCACGTCGAAGAGGCCGAGGTAGTAGACCGAGAAGCCGGTCAGAGTGTCACTAATGCTCGTGTTCAGCATGAATATAAAACGGTTCTGGCCTCGCAGAGAGCGGGAGGAGGATATACCGATGACCACCGAGCCGGCGACGAGCACGGCGCTTGTGGCGAACAGGATATGGAAGATGAAGATGAGGAAGTCCTCCGGAGTGCCGAAAGCCACCGATAGAGGAACGGTGGCGTTGAGGAGCATCCTTACGCTCCGCCAGAAGACGCGCACTCATTGTATTTATAGATGAATGGCGATACTCTTCAGAGTTTAAGCATCCTTCCTCATCCCTAGAGCGCAGGGGCTTTACTATAAACAAGTGTTATGTTAACAGGTGGAACAGCCGAATGCCAGATAGCCTATTCACTGTAAGTCCCTTGAGAGTAAAAACTATCAGTTCTTTTCACCTTAAAGTCTGAACAAAAGTGATTAACTTATTATCCCTGGATAATCCTGAACCAGACCTCAGTGACTTCAGTGCACATGCCTCTCTTCGGAGCAGAGTATAAACTTTTCTAGTTTCAACATTGCTATTCTTCAACAAAATTACAAAACGTCTTTTGCTTAAACTGGCAATCTGTTTAATGAGAAAGTGCTTTTTTATTGTGCAGGACTGTCTAAGTGCTTTTTAGGCTTTCCTTTTTCACAGTTGTAATGGAGGATGATGAGAATGATTAGAATACGCACAAATGTCTGTTTTGTCCTCTCTAATCCAATTTTCAGGTGTTAATAAATGTAGACAATGATTATAGCCATATTTCATCCAAATTACCAAGCATGGACATGAAGTGGCAATCTTAATTATAAAAACTGGCACTGTTGCCTCACGGCAAGAAGGTCGTGGGTTCAAACCCCGGTTGCCCCGGCCTTTCTGTGTGGAGTTTGCATGTTGTCCGCGTGGGTTCTCTCCGGGTGCTCCAGCTTCCTCCCACCACCCAAAGACATGCAGACTAGGTTAATTGGTGTCTCTAAAATTGTCCTTAGGTGTGAATGTGAGTGTGAGTGGTTGTCTGTCTATGTGAGTCCCTGCGATGGACTGGCGACCTGTCCAGGGTGTACCCAGCCTTTCGCCCAATGTCAGCTGGGATTGGCTCCAGCCCCCCGCGACCCTGTACGCAGGATAAGCGGTTGACAATGGATGGATGGAGGCTAACCAACATACTGTAAACACATGCCACAACAATACACCGTGTTTTATTTTAATCCAGGTACATTTTGCAAACATTTACAAACATCTGAGCATTTATGTTTTTTAATGCTTAATATTGCGACGTCTGTCCCCTTGGAAGTTAATCATTTGATCTATATTCACCCGACTGAATTCAAAGCGTTTTTCGGCCACTAGAGGGAGCAATACATATTTTTTTCACTAGGCTATATGGCCTATAACTTCTCTCCACTGTTTGGAGTAATCATTAATCTTACCAAATAAGTAAAACTCTTGTCCCATACCTGCCTGTGAATGTTTTTTTAATGTCTGGATTCCCAGGTCAGTTCAGTTCAATAGTAGTAAACCCTAAAGTTTGATCCTGTCTTAAACTGGCCCTCCCAGTGGATGTCATGATGTAGAGGTGCTTTGGTTCACAGCTTTATCCACTGAGGCTTTCTCTTTATCAAACAACAAACATACACTTGAAATGAAATCCTGCACAGACAATAGGATTTATAGGCTATGAGGTCTAGAGTGTAAAAATATGACATCACTGAAACATTAATTTGCGTTAACCACTTTAAAGAAGTCAGTCTGTCATGTCAGTTGACACATGCATTACACAGCTTCTTTGTTCAGACTGTTGTGGATCCAGACACTATGAATCATGAGTCGTCTCCAGCAGCAGTGATTACTAATTCAAACAAATTATGTTTTATTTCTACATGTTTCAAAAAAGCCCAAATATTCAGGCTACTTAACCTTATTAATAATTAGGCCTGTTGGAGAGGGCTTATGCAGCTGTTAGGCAAGCTCAGTGCAGACAGGTTAGATGAGAAGAGTAAGGGAGTTTTCTCTATTAAATATTGTTCTTTTGTGCCTCTAAAGCAACAAACTTTGGAAACAGCTGCATAAAACAGTTCAAAGTATATAGCAAGTAATCTCTATACTTTCTCTACTTTCTTGTGTCCTAACATGTTAATAAGCAGGAAGTTTCAGATGTTGATGTCAGCTAATAAATGTTTTTCAAAGTGCTTTACATTAAAGGAAAACAATAGACAACTGAATAATTAGAAAGCGAGTGCAGTCAATTTAAAAGAACAACGGTTAGTTTACATTCAGTAATAGACTCTACAAAGAGAAAGATTTTTTTTAAATGCCAATGTGATACATAATTGTATTTAAGTTGCAATGACAGATTCTAGGTACAAGATTTGTTTATTGCACTTTCTAAAAGACCTTTCTTGATGCTGTCCTCAGACCCAGAGGGAGGCTGTTCCAGACTTTGGGTGAAATTGCAGAACCTGCAAAATTACATCATCTTTTCAGATAGTATGTTCCTCCCCTCAGAATTTAACATAAGAGGCACTGAAGTCTGGACTATATGTGGTGATAATGTCAACCTAAAACTGATAACCTGAGATAATGATAAAAGAAAATTGTAGGCTACTACAGTGTAATATTTAGGCCTGTTAGGCCTACTTTAAGAAGTTGTTGAACTCAGTATGTTTTTGTCAGGAGCTTGTTGACTTGTTGTCCATGGGAATTAAAGTCACCTGTAAGCCTGATTGCGCTTCCCAGATAAATGGGAGCTGTACAGTCACACAGCTGCATTGCTGCCGGTCTTTCCTGTGCAACGAAGACCTAAACCCGCAGTTGCACACACGTTTTAACCGCACCGATGAGTAACATAAGCCAGGTGTTGTCTCTTGTGGTGCCCCCAACAAGCTTTGGCAATGTGTTGATAGTTCTTTTCAGCATTTTTCTGGCTGCAACCATCATTTTCCTCAACGTGTCTGTATCTCTCTCCATACTGCTGCACAAGGCGCTGCGCAGCGAGAACCGCTTCATGTACATGCTGAGCACCTGCTTCAGTGACATCTGCACCGGCGTGTCATATTATTATGTTGGCGTTCTTGATGTGAGGGATAACGTCGACTCCCCGACAAGAACCTTTTATATTGCACCCACATTTCTAGGACTGTCTTACATGGCCATCCTGGCCGCGCAGGCAGACAGGTACCACGCGGTGGTGTCACCTTTTAAATACTCCCAGCGCATGACCCGAAACAGGACCCTGCTGGTCATCTCTGTTTACTGGGTCTATGCTTTTTTGATCGTGGCTGTGCACAACCTGGTCACAGTCGGGGTAGCCAAAAAGATCACGGGCATTGGTACGTTTGTGGGGAACATATTCACAGTGATTATAATGATAGGGCTGAATATTAGACTGTTCGTAATAGCCAGGTTCCAGCTGGAGAGGGAACCGCCATCTGAGGAGAGAGAGAGCAAGCGCTCATCGGTGTATCTCATACTGGTGGTGGCTGTGTTTTTCTTGGGGACGTGGCTTCCCATATTCTGTCATGTTATCATCTGCAATTTCATTGGTTCAACGTGTTATACTTTTAAGAACGAAGGCACTGACCCTCTTCGCATTTTGCCCAGAGTTAATGCTGCCCTGACCCCCCTCCTGTACATCAGAGGGTGCACGGCGCTCAGAGCAAACCTGCTCACTAAAGTGTGGAGACCCTGCTGTAGGAAGAGTAGGTAAGAGGGTGGTGATGTTCGACGAGACACGTTGTTAGCTCCTCAGTGTTATCCTAAGACGGCTTTCATGATAGTTTAATCAAGTTTTCAAATGTTTTACTCAACTATCCAAGCTCAGAATCACTTTATAAACGTGGCAGAAAACTTATTTTTATTAGGATTCGTTTATTAGTTCATTGTAGTTTATAGACCCCCAATATCATGTATTTGTGACAATATTCTGAATGTTCCTGCACATGTTTACCACTTTTCACACTTGTTGACATGAATAGCTCACGGTTACACTGTAGTAGAGTTTTGTACTTTATGATATTATGTGTTTTGACCTGTTCATTTTTTGTTGTTGTTGGATCTTACTTGAAATTCTTAATCTTGCTGTATTTTTGTCTGCCATGGAAACACCAAGGCAACTATTATACACGTACGTATACTACGTTATTGAGTCTTGAGACTGAAATTGATTCCCTTCTCTTTCTTTCTCTTCATAAGGCAACATCCTGGACGACTTGGCCCTATACCTACCCAGGTCCCGCAGCGTAATTTAAAACTAGGATGGATGTCAAAGTAAACGTTGTTTTATAACCAAACTAATCAAAGACTGAAGAGGAAGTTTCATTTGAAAGCACGCTTGCTGTCAAACGATGACAATTCAGGCTTTGCATTTCCTGGAAGAAGAGGAAATGTTTAATCATGTGCTCAGCACATCTAATCTGTTAAGCACAATATCTCCATTGTTGTTTTCAAATCGCAATGAACGAATTTCAGGTCTCTATTAGGCCTAAGTGTGTTGTCTGAATGTCTTGCCATGAGAAATGTTGTTCCACAAAAAAACTGATGGAAATGACAAACACGTGTTTTAATTTAGTTATTTATAGTAGGTAGGTTATCTCTAGTAAAAATGAATCAATAGCCTAAGGGAAACTTGACTGTGCCAACATTTTGTTATTACAGCCATTTTGTTTTAATTTAATTGTCAACATCTATAAGCTTCCTTACTGGAAACAATTTAAATGTGAAATAGGCCTATGCATAGGACAAAGTTGGACGAATCTTTTATTAAGCTATTACTTGGTAGCCTCCAGCATATTTCCAGAGACTGGTAATTTTCCTGACACCTTAATTAAATAGATTTTTGCTATAGTAACATGTTTTTTTTGCTAAAGCAGACCTAACCATGTGTCACTGAAACTTGGCAAAAGGGGGATTAGCTGTGGCCAGGCTGATTGGCTGTTTTAACTGAATTCTGGTATAAATTCCCATCGGACATGGGCAATTAGGAATTTTTATTTTGCCTATCTTTATGAGGGTTTTCACATGGTTGCCTCATAGCCATTGTCGGTGATCGCGAAGGATCTTCAACTACGGTGCAGCCTAGGCAACCAATAATCCAGAAACACATGCAGTGAGTCGACGAACCTTGATTATGCAACTCAGTGTGTTGAGCCTCCAGGCAGAGGATGCAGTTTCCGCGGTAACCACTGAGTGTCAGAAGAGCACTTTGGCACAGCGCCATAACTTCGATATTCAAGGAATTTGAACTATAAGCATAAAGCATGGGAGATTAAACTGGTGCAATGTGTGGATCAATCTGTGTCTCTGTAGCGCACTGCAGGCGATGGGCAACAATATCCATTATCTCAGCAGCCAAGTGGCATCATCAAAGTAATCTCGTTGATAGAGGTCCAATAATTGGTATGTCTAGGTGAGACCATGAGTAGGTTGGATCTTGTTTTCTATTGGCTGAAGGCTGGTCTGGGTCCTCTGTGCTAAGGGGAGGAGCCAACAGATCACCACACTTCCGCACATCTGGTGCCCAATTTTTGACTCAGAAACATCTCTCTCCTTCTCTCTTCCTTTCTGCAGATACCTATAAATAATTTGGCCATCAATCATGATGAATGGCCGAGATTTGTTATTGCTTTGAGGACAAATTTGAAGTCTCAAATTGCAACTGTTATCTTAAATCCAACTAATAAATTGATTTAAGAATGAACAGGGTTGATGCAGTTGTCTTCGGTGATTGTGATAGGCACATAAAATACATTGCATGTTGAAATTGCACAGGCTACTAGTGAATAGGCTACTTGCAGAGAAACATAGTAAAAAAAATCTCAGTTTACCTACCTAATCTGCAGCAGTGAAACGAGCTTTTTTATATGTAACCCTGCTAAAGTCATATAAGATGATTTCATTATCATTTTGATTCAAACATTTTCTATAATAAAAAGGAAATCCCTTGATCGCTGATCAATCAATTCACTAGATTGTTATTAGCATGTAGGTGAAACTGCTCTCGAAACGTGCGGGTTTCTCTCACACCCTCTCATAACACATTTGGTTTGTTTAATTATTTTTAATTCGAGAATAAGGCCTATACATTATACATGATAACTTGTCACGTCAGACATTTGCAGCGTAGACCTGCATACAGCAGTATAGAACCATGGCTATGGCTAGTCGCGCTGCTGGGAGAAGAAGAAGACCACAGTCTGAACAGGGCATGTAGCCCTCCCTCTGTCTTTCTCTGTCTCTCTGCCATCTTGCAGGTAAAGTTGCCAAGGGTCCTGGGCTGAGAAATTGGCCAAACCCTCCCACAGTGGGATGTTTTCTCTGCTGCACTCTGGGCTGGTTTCTATTCAAATGTGGGTCAGGGGTGAGGAAGCCTAACGTCATAAGCTTGCAACATGGCGTCCCGAAGGCTGTGAGATGAGCAAGAGGATGGTAAAGAACGCTTGAGAACGACCCTACCGATGTAATAAGGTATTTAAAATGAATGATTTGTCTGTAAGGTGGATTGTAAATGCGTAACGGTGCTGCTTTCATGTCTGTTTTGGTTGGATCGGTTTTTTTCCCTGCTGCAAGCACCGCAAGGGTTTTCGGCGTTACGGTGATATTTTTTTTCTATGTCGTGCCAACAAAAAGGGGCTCCGCTGGTGTATATTCTCGCTGTACCAGCCTGCCTGGCAAGCCGAGAAATCCCACTTTATTGCTCGACCTTATCGCGGCCCCTTCTCGAAAACGCAAGGTAAATTGCTTGCAAATTTTGCGGCGTTTATTTTGGCGTCGTAGGTTTATAAGCAAGAGATGCCCCAGCCCCACAGGACGAGGGTGTACCTAATAATTACAAGGCTGGCAAAGCACATCGGGCGACAGAAAGGATCCACAAACTGCTCGTTGCAGCGCTTCACAGGAATGTGTTCACACTGAACCTCGTTTTATTAATGTTTTATACTCCAAAATGTTCAAGTGTTTACAAACATGTAGCCTAGGATAGTAATGAGCTGACGATCTCATTTAAATCGATCGCTCTCATGTGATCATAACACTGACTTTTGTCAAATAGCAGTACATTGCTCTTAATGTGTTAAATTAAACAGGACTGATTCTGTGGCTTTTACGCAATGTGTTTTGCGCAATGTTCCTTATAACCGTTACAGTCGATGCCTGTAGTGTAACCTGCATCTTTTATATGTAGGTTAAGTCACCTTTTTTTTAGTAGGGCTATCCTAATTAAAAATGATTTAAAAGGATTGACTTGCAAATATATCCAGTACAATGTAGACGCAGCTACTTTCTGGTTTAAAACGTTAAATTCTATCGATCCAGGAGATTGTTTGTGTCTTTATAGCCTATAGATGGGCTACTGCTATACATCGACCATCTTTGTGATCGGCCACCGTGTGAGTGTAACGTTACATTGTGACCAAAAACAGCTGTGCTTTATAGAAACAGTATTGCATGATATTAATTCCTGGTCGTAAATTATCGTTATGATTAAAAAAAAGAAATAAACACCCACATATTTGGTTATTAAACTCTAATTCAAACCAATCACAAATCTCTTTGTAGCTAATACAACAATGTATGTGTTCAGGTGTAAAGGCTGCTTGGCTTCTCAGGTGATTAGTGTTGTTAAAGTACAAAAGGCCATGGAGATAATAAGGCACAGGAATGTTAGTAATGTGGGTTCCCTGTTATTGTGTTTTTAGATCTATAGGTTTTACATAAGTTAGTTTCAAGGAAAAAAAATACACAGTGCACAAGATGTGCTTCTAATAAGACACTTGTATTCTGTAGTTAATGGAACTGGCATACCTGTTATACATGTTACAACAGTGTGTGAGGCAGTATTTTAGCCAGTTTTTGTAATAAATGTTTCTCAAATACATCCAGTGCTGTTGTCGGCATAAACTTGTAGGCATTCTGAAAAATGCAAGGTTCCACTGTTTTTGTAGATGCTGTGACATTTCCAGACTCTTGCCTTGGGGAAGTTTTGTCACAACCTTAGGGCAATATGGAGATAAATCCATCTATTTTTACAGCCTCTTATCCTGCTCAGAGTTGCAGGGTGCTGTAGCCTGTAATATGAAGATTGTAGGACTACATTTTGGCTGGTTACACCCACCCAGAAGTGTTGTTGATGTGCAGTTGCTCTGCAGCCAGCCTACAGTTTGGCCAAACAGTTAGCTGAATTGTGCTTTTCAGCAATAAAAGCACAAGAAGGATTGATGAGTTGCATCCAAATACATTTTACACTTCATATAGATAGTCAAATCTGCTGAGGCTTGTGATTAGGGCTCCTGTACTGACTTACGTGGTTGATGATGACAATGCTGCATCTGTAACCGCAATAAGCTTCAAAAGCTTAAAGTGTTTAGGTATACAAAAAAAAATATGGACTTGTGTGAGTTACATTTTAACTGACCACTCCTCTTTCAGATAGTAGATGAAGTATTACTCTGAAAATGTTTCATTTATGTTTATTTTTTATGTAGCAGATGTGTAACAAGCTAGCAGTGCCACCAAAACACACAACAGAGATGAGAGGGAAATACTGACCAAAAAGTGTAATAAAGTCACAAGCCTAACCAATGGCAAATTGTAGCTGTTAAATATACATTATACATATGCACATTTAGTAATAACTGTTGAACAAGTTAATTTAGGCCATTAAAATGACCAAGTCAAGTCAACTGATCAGTGTGAGTAGATTCATTGATTACTATGGACTACAAAGTGTGGCCTGAAGGGTATTTTGAGACCTGTGTGTGCCTCATGATCCTCATGATCGGCTGGTTGGTCTTGCCTCACCCTACTTGTCCCTTCCCCTTCTCAGCACACGCACTGTGTACATTGTGATCGTGGCTTACAGTGGCGTGTGTGTGGGCAGCACAATGCAGTAAGGCTGCTTAGGCTATATGTTCTGCTGACAGGTTAGACGAGGACTTATAGATTGTGCTTGGCTGTCGTGTCTGTACAGTCCCGTCTGTTCTGTGCTGCTTGTTTGAGGGCGGTTTGGTTCGTTCAGTGGCTAAAGTACCTCAGGGCAGGGTTGTTGTTGTTCCTTAAGAAGAAGAAACAGTCTGTGGAATGTAGTGCTGATAGCCAGAAGGTTATGCTGTGTTTAAAGTGTGTTGGGGGAGGAGGAGGAGGAGGGGTGGCAGCTCTGTAAAACCTTGGACCATACAGGATCTCTTCTTACCCAACATGCCCTCTGTCCTGAGCCACAGCATTAGGCTCCAGGTCATGTGGATCTGCTGCTTTTTACGGGGCGGGGGGGGGGGGGGGGGGGGGGGGGGGGGGGGGTTATCTCATCAACAAAGTTCATTCTCTCAAGACAGAGGTCAGTTGATCATACCAATCATATGTTCACTTGTTTAGTGAAGTGGTTGATTACCTCATTTTTGGCAAGGGTATGCAGTTGGAAGCAGCATGTGTGTGTGTGTGTGTGTGTGTGTGTGCCAGTTGCTAGCCAGTATTGCTGGTAGTCTCAGTGAAAGTCTCAGTGTCTCATATCAGTCTTTATTTAATTTGTCCAGGGGACACTTTTTTTAAATACAGCAACCAAGCCACAAAATACAATACAGTATGGAGACAGAATGTAGATGCACACATACATTAACCCATGACAGCAGAGATCTGGATACCTGGATTTGTTAATCTCAGAGTCAAGAAATCTTTTTTTTTATTAACAAAGAACACCCACAGATTTTTTGTTTTTTATTATTTAAATGTTGTATGTATGCATGTATACATTTTTCAACCTGAAATTGCTGAAAGCTAAAGCAAAAGATATTCAATAAGGCATTTGAAAGCAATTGCCTCTAATCAATGGATTCATCACTCAATTTGAGATTCAATAAAATGCTGTCAAACCAGAAAATAAGATAAGTCACATAAAATGTGCAGTGAACATTGATTATATTTACTTTTCTTTAAACGATAACCCTTCATGACAAAGTGAAACATACTTTGAGGTATTTTTGCAAATGTATTTGTCTTCTGGCATTGTGCTTTCAGTTTTATGCACATGACTGCTGAACTCTGCCTGCAGATACTATCATACCTGTAGCCATACTTAAATCTGGCATTCTGGCCTGTCCTGCCTGTCTTTTTAATTGGACATCTTGGCATGTTAAGTTGTTATGTAGGAAAAAAGGTTAAGACTCCTGCTACTACTTTATCATCTGATCTTCAGAAAAACCTTTAGTTTTGTTTTCACTGGTGTTAACCCTAACCCTGCTGCTAGAAAATCCTGAAATGCAAAAGGTGTTATTTAGACATGAGTTTTCTTTAGACCATTGCACAAATTCACGCAAATGGATCCATGGGTTTCGTTACAGGCTGAGTTGTGCACATGTAAGAGAATTCATGTGCTTGTGTGTGTGAATGTGAGAGAGTCTTGCCTGTTCTTCCCATGCTGCACAGCACTGGCACATCTGGGCTATGCTGCAACCATTGGCCCCCTCCGGTGATGAAATGGACGAGGCTCTTTTCATTCCACTGCACCCTGGGCAGGACTTGTTTGTCTGCAACATGGCTGAACTGCCTGCCAGGAAATGAGTCTTAATTGGATGTGTTCTATCCAGGCTAAGGACACTGTAATTCATGTACTTCCCCCTTCAGCCATGCAGCACCAGGGCCATGCACCTGTTCTTTAGCATTTGTATCCAACAATCCTGCAGTAAATTCATGTCTGTAAGACAGGAC